TCGACTAAGCTCGGTAAAATATTTGTCGAGCGATTAAACATGAATTTCTTCGGAAATTATTCCGAACATTAACATGACATCCGAAAATTAATTCGAACATTCTTGACTTGAGTAATTAATTCCGAATAATCATACTCACTAAGATAATTATATCGGAACTAAACACGTAAATTTTTATTAATGACATGACGAGATATAACATAATCTTCTTAATATGAACTTAACTACATAAGAAGAGGGTAAATAGGAGTATACCCTTCAGTTCGGTCGAGGATTTCACGGTGATGTGCGTGCGTGTGCTAAGCTTGAACGCGTACGTTCGTACTTCCCTTGTGCTTCCACCTTCCTTAGCTATTTTTGTATAATTTTCTCACAGTATTTTACTTATTATTTTCCCTCTATTTATTGCTGAAGTTGGGCTCGGTTTTGTGCACGAAAACGCATGAAGAATGGTTACACGTTCGGTCATTTATTTATGGTGAAAACCATGGGTGAAAATTGGGTCAAAGGGGTGGTTGATGACGCATTCTTCTCTTGTTGACATGTGTCTCAACCAAGTGTTGAAGTGTGGCGTTTGAAGCCTAGTCATTGCCGAGGTGTCGGGCATGCACGGGCTTAGTCATCGCCCGTGCGTTCGTGGCATGTCGTGTGTGCAAGCAAGGAGGTAACTCACCACCCCACTTGCACACCCAACATTTATCCTTGAATTTTTCCTCATGTAATTCTTAGGATGGGGTTTTGGTCTAACCGAGTTGCTAAGCTTTGCCTAAGTGCGTGCTTAGCGGCTAATGACGCGCGCGCTAGTGCGCGATGCGCGGCGATGCGCGTTTGCGGGCGTAGGCGTACGCACGGCATGCGATACGCGTGCATGCTTAGTACACCTTGTGTGCATTCCTGACTTGGCTTAGTTATAGCTTTGAACATAATTCCAAACATGTTAACGATTAATAATTAATCCCGATTAATGCTGTCTGTTATTAATAATTAATCCCGATTAATGCTGTCCGTTAATTGAATAGACGGTTCGGAAATTAATTATCGAATTTGACTCCGTTAATAATTAACCGGATAAGTTTTTTGACTTAATGTCGAACGTAATTGCTGAAAATGAACAGAATTAATAAAAGATAATACATCATTTATATTAACAAGAAGTCGGGTTATTACAATCTACCCCCCCTAAAAATATTTTCGTCCTCGGAAATATAAAACAAAACATATAAACATGAAAGATATACATGTCAAAACTGAAAGTCGGGAAAACGAGCGCGAATGTCAGCCTCCTGCTCCCAAGTGGCTCTGTGGCGATCCCACTGAATACGAACGAGGGGAACATTACTGTAACGCCCCGTTCATTTATGAATAAATTAGATTTTCTATTATTATTATTATTATTATTATTATTATTATTATTATTATTATTATTATTATTATTATTATTTATTATTGCTGCCATTTATATTAAATATTAATTGTTGTTTGTCTAATTGCTTAAATGAATTTATGTGCCTAATTGTGTATAAATATTAATTGTGAAAATTTTATTATAAATATTAAGAACTATTTTAAATATTTTATTTATTATTATTATTTTAATTTGATCCGTCGAGCCGAACCCCGCCAAACCCGCGAGCCACGCGCGTCCGGAGCCGCGCCCCAAGCCGAGCCCGCGGCCCTTCCCCTCTCTCTCTCACTTGGCTTTCTTGTTGGCCAAGACATTGTGTATCTTTTATTTTAGGGAAGAGAATCCCATAGCTCTTATAATTGCAGCTCCCTTTTTTTCTCTCTTTTCCATTCACCCACACAAACCCTATCTATCTCTCTCTCGCCGCCGCCCCTCCCTCTCGTTTTCTTCTCGCCGGCAGATCACCACCAGCCATCGCCGTCACCACCGATCATCCTCTGCGCCGTTCGCGAGTAGAGAATCATCCCAGGCCGCTGTTCGAATGATCCGAGGACGTCCATCGCCCAGCAACCGCGACGACCACTCGGGCGAGCCACGCGCAAGCCGCCGAGCCCCC